GCCCCATGACCGGACCCAAAAAAAAAAAAAGAGTCTCACAGACTTTCCTGCCCAGCCTGGCTTTGAACGATGATCCTCAGATGTCAGCCTCCTGAGTAGCTAGGATTACAGGCATGAGCCAGCAGCGCCCAGCTTAAACAACAGAGTAGGTATATAAAATTAAAAGCTGCTTCTAAATAAATGCTTTATAGTCGATAAAGGTAGGCTATCTTAAAAATCAGCTTTTAGCTTGACATAGTGGTAAACACTTATGATTCCAGCAACAAGGAGGCTAAAACAAGAGGACAGAGAACTCCAGGAAAGCCTAGGTTATATAGTAAAACCATCTCTCAAAAAAACAAAATCAAAACTCAAACCAAAGCTGAGCATCAGTGGCTCAGGCCTGTAATCCTAGCCTCTCAGGAGGATGAGATCTGAGGATCACAGTTCAAAGCCAGCCTGGGCAGGAAAGTCTCCATGAGACTCTTATATCCAATTAACCAACAGAAAACTGGAAGTGGCACTGTGCCTCAAGTGGTAGAGCACTAGCCTTGAGCTGAAGAGCTCAAGATCAGTGCCTAGGCCCAGAGTTCAAACCCTGTGACCAATGGGAAAAAAAAAACACCTCAAACCGAAAATCTGCTTTTAAAGCAGGTGTGGTCAGACCTGCCTATAGTCTCACATATTGGGGAGACAAGAGGTAGGAGGACTGCTAAAGCCCAGGAAGTCTAAGCAAAGTATGGGCAACATAGTGAAACAAATGTCTCAACAAATGAAAACAAAAATCTACATTGGAAAGAGATTAAAGAAAAGAAACTAAAAGGAGAGAAAAAAATAAGTTTTTTTTATATACTCTAAAAACATTTTACTATTTTACAAGTGATTAAGATCCTGCCAGGCGCTGGTGGTTCACGCCTGTAATCCTAACTACTCAGGAGGCTGAGATCTGAAAATCATGGTTCAAAGCCAGCCAGGGCAAAAAAGTCCATGAAACTCTGATCTCCAATAAACCACTAGAAAACCAGAAGTGGTGCTGTGGCTCAAGTAGTAGAGCTCTGGCCTTGAGCTGAAGAGTGCAGGGACAACACCCAAGCCCAGAGTTCAAGCCCCATAACCAACAAAACAAACAAACAAACAAACAACAACAACAAAAAACCAAGTGATTAAGTTCTTGATTTTAAAGCAATCCAAATTAGGCCAGTATATCAGCTGACTTTTACTCAAAGAAAAAGATCTTGACACTGTAACAAAGATTTAAAAATGAATATAGAATAAGGAATATAGGTAGCTCACTAGTAAAAGCACATGCACGCGCACACACACACACACACACAAACACACACACAGGTATTTATGTTTTACAGGTATTAGCTTAAAATATCTGTGTGAGAAAACATCAAACAGTACTCAAATTACCACTCAAGGACATTGTTCTAGAAGAACAGAAGGTATAATACCTTTAATAAGGCATACACAAAGAAGATTTTTTTTTTGCTACATCGCCAGCCCCATTTTAATTTTCACTCTAGAAGGTAAAATGATACTATTTTAAATGCAAATGAAACAAGTACTTTAATACCTTCTGGTATCTAACTAAAGAGAACACACTGAATTTGTTCTACTCACCATTCCTCCCCAAAGTGCACACTGATGGCAGATACACTTCTTACAAGTCCAGC